ATTGAGCCAGAAGACACAAATAAATTGATTTTTAAAAGTTTTATTTATACAGAGACAAAATTTTAGTCGATCATTCCTGATTTGAGAAACGCACTCTCAAAAATTAGCTTGAGCCCTTATGAGATGAGAAGGGGCGAACAATATCTTCAACTTTAATGAAGATAAAACCATTCTCATTTCGCTTTTAATCGACTTTCTCTTTCAGACCCTAAACCGCAGTGCCGGAATCACTTTTGCAGCCCATATTTGCACAAAAATCTGTGCCCCAGAGCGGCCCCTTCCGAAACGAGGCACGCCTCAATGGCCCCTTCTAATCCTCCGATTGCGGCGAACTTTGCGCCAATAATCTCGGCACGCCATTCAAACAGACGTCGCCATATACTTAAAATCCAAGCCGACGTTTTCTCGTAACGAGATGAGAGCACTTTTCCTCGCTCCAATTTTCCCCGTGAATGCCACCCATTCGAGTTGATGGGATTAAAACAACGGACGTACATATAAGACGGATGGAATCACTCACGAAAGGAATCGAGAATTGAATGTCTACTTAGGAACACGCCGTGCGACGTCGTATTGATCTCGTTCCCCGAAACGCCATTCGAGCGAAAGCACGGAAAATTAATATTTTTTCCTCCCACCATGTATACGAAACCAACTCAGCGTGATGCAAGAAGTAAAAAAATAAAAATAGAGTTGGCTGGAAGAAGCGTAGAAGTGTAGCGAGTCAATTTCGGCGAGCGCAATTTGGTCTAATATTCCTGAGGGAGAAATTCGCGGCGAGTGCAAAAAGTGAAATGGTTTTTATTTGGGCTCGCTATCTCGACACCTTTATTTCGGTGCCATTATAATTCACGGTTATGAAGTGTATATTGCGTTACCTGGTGTATTTATTCGGCTGCAGCTTGTTTGCGGCCGCAGATTGAATCCGCCAACTCTCGTTCCCGCAAGGCCCTAATTCCTTATTTATGGTAATGCCGTAGTCGCCTTGTTTATAACTTCGGACCCGCCTCGGAAAGCTTTTTCCGCCGTGTTCGGGTGACTTTTTAGGATTAGGTCGCGCCCTTATAAAAAGTAATAGGCGCTTGGGAAAGAAACTGGCTTGCCGACCTTAAATTCGACCGCTCCCCGGTGGGCAAGCCCAGAGGAATACGCCGCAAAAATACAACGTCAGCTAATAATTTAATTATTTACGCATTTAAGCTTCTCGCTCTGTTTACCAAGAACCTAAATAAAGAAGTAACAGTTGAAGGCCGTCTCCAGTAATAATTTTTTACCCTGGATAAAAAAGGGACATAATTTTAATAAAAATTGCTATGAAACTAATGTTGAACTTGACGTTTTAATTAAACAGGGGCTCAGCGATTGTTCACTATTTCCTGCCAATGGCATTGCAATCTTGAGCATCGCATTGAAGAAGTAGCTTGCTTTATTGGTTTTAGCAAACAAATTTTGGCAGGAAAAAATAAAGCTTCAATGACAGCCTGTTTTATTTTTATTGCTATTGGTTTCAGTTATGAAATTTTGTTGTGAATTCAAAGAAAAGGCCCTTGTTAAATGCTGAAATGAAAATGAGAGTGTTAATATTAATTTTTAACTAATATTTAAAGTTGAATTTTTGATAATAATAATTAAAATTAACTTTTTATTAGATAAAATATATTAAATGAGAAATAGTGATAAAATGCTCGGATCTAACTTTTTTTAGTTGATAATGAGGTCTAATTTAAATAAATTGGCCATGTCAAATTTTTTAACTTCAGATTTTTTTAGCAAGAATAACTTTTCATCGCACAACAAAATAGCGAAACTTTAAAGTTGAACACGCATATTTAGGCGGTGGAGAAAAGAAGTTTAAAGTTTAGGCGCAGATTAAAACTTTCGCAGCTCACAGAGTTTTGTATATTTTTTCTGCGACTTCCGTCTTTTTCGCCTCGCTTGCTTCTGGTGAAAAAGACGGCGGCGTTTGAACCCCGCTTGTCTAGTGCAACACATGCAAGTTAAAAAGAAGAAGAAAAAAAAAACTGCCGACAAGCCAGTGCACAATTTTTGCTTCCTTTTTCACCCCGGCGATTGTGCCCAGGCTGGCGTGAAAAGCAAGCAAAGGACGCTGCAGCAAAAGCGCCATGTATAAATCATAATATCTGGGCTGCATGCAGCGGCGCAGCAGAAACTCTCTTCCTGCCATTATACGGCATTATTTTCCACCTAGTTTCACATCACAATATTGACGTCGAGGCAGAGAAAGGCAGGGGCGGCCCAAGGAGCTCATTTAATTTTTATCTTTGTGTCGTGGGGCCGAGTGCCATTTGTCAACGTCACTGACAAAAGCCCGCGTCAAATGGTTGGCGATAAAAATGTTTCATTAATGTCTGATTTTGTGTGCACAAGTACTGGATAAATCAAGTGGAAAAGACGCGGCCTGCATACTAGAGCGAGCGCTTGCCTTTTTTTAACTCTCGCAACTTTTCTTGCAGCCGAACGGAAAGTGAAACTAAATTGATCACGATGTCGTTTCGCTCCGCACACATACGGCAAAAAGAGATTGAGGAATGTTGTTGTAAGCGTTTTTCGTTGTGACTTCTGCTCCGCCAAAGATCGTGGTGCGATGCCGCTTTTATAGAAATGGACTTTTTGTGTACGTTGGCTATGAGAAGGAAATTCAGAGTGAAGCGGATAAATGTGTGAAATGATAAAAAACTTGAGAGGGAATTAAAATTTATGTTCATTTTTTCCATCAGTTGTTTTATGAAAAGTCTACTTCTATGATTATTTTTTAATCAAAGTTCTCCTTTAAAAATCAGTATCGCTGTAGATTTTCCATCAAAATTTGCAATACAAAATCATATTTTTAAAAACTGTTGTCCAATTTCTTGCTAAAAACGACTTTATCTTGAATTTTTTCAGCCGCAATTAGAGTTTTAAGAGCTGTTTTCAAAGAAATTGGTCTACTTAAATCCTCAGCCATACATTCATTTTCAACAAAAATTTTGTTAAAGAAGGAAATGGATTTGTGCGCTTGGAAACTGCCAAAAAATAATTGTTAACACGCACAAAAAATTTCTTCATCCTCTGCATCGTTCCTTGGCTCTAAGTAATAAAGAAGCAGGAATAGTTATTTTTCTTAAGAAAATTGGTAGCTGGGAAAAATGTTAAAATATTTTATCTCGGGGTCGGGCGAAATGAGATCAGTTTAAAACCCCGGTTTTTATGCGACATCTAGAGAAGGAAAAAACTGCCTGGGTCTGTAAAAAGTAGCATCATGGAATTTCCCAAGATATTTTTTATATATTAATTTTATTATTCAATTACAATTTTTTGAAATTTCTCATCCAATATTATATTAAGTTTTAAGTAATTAAAGGAATCTGCTCGGAATGAAATTATTCGCATGACTCTGCAAAATTTCTGTTAAATCCGAATAGCAAGATTGACCCACGCGAAAAAGTGGTGCTTTTCCTGCGCACAATTGTGTTCGTATTGATCTCGCCCTTTTACACTGATACACTCGTCGGCGGAGCGAGTCTCTCTCTCTCCGCGGAGCTCTAAATTGTTGCTCAATAATTCACAGGTTGCATGACACACATAAAAAGTTAGCCGTGCCGCGATGATGCCGTCGTGCGCTCTCTCGGTGCGCTTGTTTATTGCCGCAAATGAAATATATACACGATGCGGCGGCGGCGGCGGGGTCGACGAAGAAAAATGCGAAACGCCCACCGCTTTTCCACTTCATGAATATGCACGCTTTTTCCGGGACTTCCTAATTCCCGATTCAGCACGGTCGCGATTTGCATTTTTATCACAACATTCGAGTGCGCATGCAAATGGATTTGCCGCTCGAATTGAATAAAAATGCAAAACAATCAGTGCCAACCGATACTCTGTGCCGGCCCGGCTGCTGCTCATAAACGACTAATAAAACAGCTCCGGCCGCCGCTAACGAGAGAACGGTCTTCTTGCCCGAGTAACAAGCACTTTGTATTCAATAAATAACCCCCGGCTTTTTATTGGGGCGTTGAAGGAATTTTACTGCGCGACTGGAGCTTGATTTATTCACCATAATTTTATCCGGCTCGGAGGATTTGGTTGAAATCAATAACGAGGGATGTGGAAAATTTAAAAGCACTCCTATTTCCCTGATGAAAAGGCCAATTATTATTAAATAATTTCATGTTTGTGCTGAAAAATGCAAATTTTCAGCAAATTTACACTGGGATGCCATTTTATTTGATTAGCAGCGACGAAAAAGAGATATTTGAGCCACTCAAATATTTACACGCCATCACTGCAAAAACAGTCGGTCGTTTGTCGAAATAGCTTTGCGCATATTTTCACCTGTGGAGCAGAATAGACGCGTCGAATTACCTCAAATGGAATTCAGCGTGGTCGCCATTTCGAATGCGAAATGAGATTTCGTCGGCTACGTGCGAATTGGTTGTTGTTTTTGCCGCAACAGATATAATAATTTATACATTCATTTCTGCTGGTTAGTCGCCGATTGAATGCAAATTAATTTGGCGTCGTTAAAAGAGAAATCTCTGTATTCATAATTGAGAGAAACATGATTTGCTGACCAACAAGGTCAGATTTAAAATTAGAAAAATGAGGTCAAAAAGGCTCTTTAGTTTCTGATAATTCCAAATCCAAAACTTATTCTAAAATAACGAACTGTGTCTTTATAATTCAATTAGTGTGAGACTTAAACGATATTTAAGACTCTTCATCACAAATTAATTGACATTTATAAGTAATTTGAGACTTGAACACATATTTCTTGACTGTTTTGAAGATTTTGTTGATTGTTTTGCATATATTTGTACACATTTTTTTTTAATTTTGGAAATAAAATTCATTTGCCTAGTCTTCTTTTATGCGCAAAATTTTTTAGTTTAATAATTATTTCCTGTTTGATTATTTAGAATACAAGTGTGAATATTTAAATTACATCTCTGAATGCATTATTTGAATTTAAAAATTAATTATTATTTTCATTATGTTCACAGAGACGGTCGTCTTCAAGAAGGAGACCAAATCCTCGCCATCGATGGACAACCGCTGGACGCTGACATTTCTCACCAGCAGGCCATTAGCATCCTGCAGCAGGCGCGTGGCCTGGTGGAGCTGGTGATCGCACGTCAGAGATCATCCGTGCTTGATCAATCTTCGTTACCTGCGTCTCTCACGCCAACCTCGCCTGCGGTAGCGCGCTCACCTTCGGCTACATCGGACACATCCAAGGCAGGATCAGACATGGTGGTGAGTGGAAAACCAACCCCTTATTGCTGCAACATTGATTGATGGCCTCTGGCTGCAGTGATTAATTATTTATCCCGTTGCGGAATTACATTCGGCTCGTTGCCTGAAATAAATGACGCGAAACTTTTTGCCGCCGCTTGAGTAAATAGCGCAAGGAAGAAGCGAGGCTTAGTCAAAATATCCTCGGGAAAGCCGAAGCGCTTAATTACCAAGTTTGCTGCTGCTTTGTTGACTTTGCCTCTACTAAAAATAATATACACAGCGCACTAGCAAAGTTTCATTTGCTCCTTGATTTCGCAAAAGCACAACTTGCAAAAGAAAAAAATGCTTTAATTAAGCGCAATATTGTAAACAAAAGTGCTTTTGAATTTATATACAAATTTAAAACTCCCCATTCTAGAAGCCATTTTGTAAATGCAAATGACAAAATTTGAATTTCTTCTTCCTATGAGCAACCCCTCAAAATAGCTCTTCCTTTTTCAACTTTTCCATCTCCTTCCTTCCTTCCTTTGATGTGCGGCGCATTTTCTGTTCAATGGAATAATTCAACGAAAAGTTTCAACTCCATTAAGTAGAAAACTTTGTTGACTTGCATCCCCGTAGCTTCCTCACTTACGTGTTTTTTTTTGTTGCCGTCTTCAATCGTGTTTCCGTCTGGTTGCAGCTGAACACCGAATGGGCGCAAGTCGAAGTGATAGACCTGGTGAATGATGGATCGGGACTCGGTTTCGGCATCATCGGAGGACGCAGCACCGGTGTCGTGGTCAAGACCATCTTGCCCGGAGGCGTCGCTGACCGGGTACGTAACTTATTGAATCAATCTGCAAAGGGCCACTCCACGTACTTCGCTACATCGGTGTGTGTTTATTCTGCCGGCGGACGAAAAAATAAATATGGTCCCTGCTGCGTTTTACGACGGCCATATACTTTATATTTCATGTCTCTCGGCGATTCCCTCGCAGCAGCTACCGCCACTTTAGATGGAATCTTTATCCACCCGGTGGTCGTTTAGCCAATGATAAGTCTTGACATCCCTTCTTTCCGAGTGGATTGCGCCCTGGACAGTGAAAAATTGCTTCTCGGCAGAGCTAAAAGCTTGTCTCTGATCAACTTTTTTTTTGTTAAAATGTTACAGACAAAAAATAAATTTTTTTTTTCTGTAATAAAAAAAGATATTAATTGAAATGTTATTTTTACCTTGGTAGGACGCTCGACTGCAGAGTGGCGACCACATCCTGCAGATTGGGGAGGTCAACCTGCGTGGCATGGGCTCGGAACAGGTGGCCGCAGTGCTGCGCCAGTCCGGATCTCACGTTCGGCTGGTGGTGGCGCGCCCTGTTGAGCCCACATCGCCCGACTACCAGGCCCTCGGCAGCCACGCTCCGATCGTCCCCACCAAAATCTTGGGAGACGCTGAAGAGCTGGACAGGCACCTCATTCAAAATGGCTACGGCAAACCCATCTCCTCCACCTCCACCATGGCCTCTGATCTTCAGTACAACCCCAACCTTTACATCTACAACCAGGCGCAGGACGGAGGCGAAATCGAGCTCCATGTAGGCATTTGAATTTTGGTTAAAGTTCACAGGCGTGAGGCTAAAATTTACTCTCACATCTGCAGAGAAATTCCAATATTATGCACAATAAATTCCAGAGCTTGATTAAAGTCTTTATTATGGCGGCAAAGTATGCCAGCAATTTTTGTTCCTTGTCAACACCACAAGAGGCGCAAGTATTTTGTAGACAGCTTTTTTCTCTTTGATCTTGTCTTGAGTGTTTTTTTGCTTTGACAAGCACTCTTGTGGTGGCTGATCCGAGAAACGTAATTGCCATTTCTTTCCGTTACCGCAAAGTGTAATTAAGCCTCGGTACACAAGTACTTCAAACCTAACCCCTTGTTTCAATTTGCTTGCAGCCACAACCAGGAATGCTGATCGATGTGGTGGGTGGTCAGTTGCCAGACATCTCGATGGGCCTCTTGGGGTCAGAAGATTCTACTGAGCCACTCCCCGAAATGGACGTGTTTGAGGTGGAGTTGAAAAAAGACACCCACGGGCTTGGCATTACCATCGCTGGCTATGTTTGTGAAAAAGGTATAAACTTTGTTTGTTAAAAAAAAAAATGAATAATAATTTAAAAATTATTAATTTTTCCTGCAGAGGAATTGTCGGGTATTTTCGTCAAGAGCATAAGCAAGGGCAGTGCAGCCGACGTGTGCAGGAAAATCGCAGTCAACGACCGTATTGTAGAAGTAGATGGCCAGACTCTGCAGGGTTTCAACAACCACCAGGCTGTTGAAGTGCTGAGAGCCACAGGTCAGCTGGTCTGCCTTCGTCTCGAACGCTACCTTCGCGGCCCCAAATTCGAGCAACTCCAGCAAGCCATTGCCAACTCTGAAGTAAAACCCACCACTCCAAACTCGCCTTCCATTGTGTCGCTTCCACATATTCCAATTAGTTCTGTAAGTTATAATGTTTGATAAAAGAAACAAAATTTCAAAATTAAATCTTTAGGCTGCTGAAAGTGAAACCATCATTGAACCTGATGGTGAATCGAGGACCACTATTGATTCAATGATTCTTTTGGAGTCGACTTTGGGTCTTGATTTGAGTACTGTTGAGGCCAATAACGCCTTTGTTGCCCTCGCTAATGTTGAAAAGCTGATTGACCAGCATTATGACGGAGAACTCTCTCCGGCCGTGGAAGATGCTTTGGTTGCCAAGTGGGGTCAACTCATGGGACCTGATGTGGAGATAGTGGTACGTTTTCCTCAAATTTGCAGTTACAAATTTAATTAATTCCTTCCGCAGGTTGCTCAATTGTCCAAGGGAGAAGGTGGAGGTCTTGGAATCAGCCTTGAAGGCACTGTCGATGTAGAGGACGGGCAAGAGGTACGGCCGCACCATTACATTCGCTCAATTCTTCCTGATGGGCCTGTTGGCAAGAATGGACGGCTCAATGGTGGAGATGAACTTCTTGAGGTAAAAATTTTTATCAAAAAACAAAACAAATTTTTTAATTCCATTTTTTCTTTTTTATTAATTTCATATTTTAATGAAAATTTGATGTTTATTTGCAGGTGAACGGCTGCCGACTTTTAGGCCTCAACCACGTTGAAGTGGTTGCAATTCTCAAAGATTTGCCTCTCCACGTTCGAATGGTTTGTGCGAGAAAGCCAGGCGAACAGGCAGCTCGCGTAATTGACACCTCACAGGACAGGGCTGCTTTCGTCTCCCGAGTGAGTACCTTTGCATTTTTTTTTTCATCTCAACTCGAGCCAATCTTTTAACTTGACAAAATAAAAAAAAAAGAATGAAAACAAATTTAACTGCATGGTGTTCTGTGTCTTGCAGAGCATCTTGGGTGGAAGTCTTCAGAACTTAATACCGGCCACTGATCGGCTCGTCAAGGCCAAGTCCGATGGCTCATTGGCGTCCTCTGCCACTGCAGGAACGGACTCAAACAGTTTCTCTCGCATGAAATCTCGCTCTCTTGAACCACTCACTGGCCTGGCCATGTGGAGCTCTGAACCACAGGTCATCGAATTGGTGAAGGGTGATCGGGGACTTGGATTTAGCATCCTTGACTATCAGGTAAAATTTTGTCAATCAAACTGCTCTAAAAATCGAATGTTGCAAGAATGCGGAAGGTGTTTTTATAATTTAATTTTGGTTACAATTTTTATTTTGGTTTCTGAGATCAAAAACTGAAGTTGAACTTGCAGGATCCGATGAATCCCAGCGAAACTGTCATTGTCATCCGCAGTCTGGTGCCGGGCGGTGTTGCTCAGCAGGACGGCCGACTCATCCCTGGCGACCGACTGCTCTTCGTGAACAACACGAGTCTGGAGAACGCTTCCCTCGACCGGGCCGTGCAAGCTTTAAAAGGCGCCACTCGCGGCGTGGTGCGCATCGGAGTGGCCAAGCCGCTGCCTCTGCCCGACACGACCGGAGGCTCCTCCCCCACTAGCCAGGTCAGTGAGTCCCAACAACCTACGCTGGCAGCCGACCATCGACCTGTCATGACCTTGCCCTCGCCCCCGCCTTTGCCCCCGACTCCAATGCCCCGCACCTCTCCTCCTGCAAAAACCACCACTCACACCAGCCACGCCGAAATGTGGCTGTCGGTTGACGATGCCATGGCAGCTGCAAATGCGGCTCTCACCAAGTCGGAGAGCTTTTGAATTTAACTCGGAGCCAAGGAGTCGTGGCTTTAAACTGTCAAATTCTGCAGGAGCATTTTAAATTTTAATTCCACCAATTTTTATTACAATTTTATACTGATTTTTTAAAATTTACAGGCAAAGTTATTTGGCAAACCTGGTTGTACAGTAAGCAAAATACTTTTAAAAATTTTAAATACTTGAAAAAAGTTAATTTAATTATATGTTAAAAAAAAATCCTGCAGATTTTTGCATTTTTAAAGCCTCGATGAGCATCGGACCTTGGCTCTGGGTAAGCAGCTGAATTCCACCAGCCTCAGATGATGTAATTCCCCCTCGAAACAAGAACAAATTCTAAAATCTTTGCAATACACTCCACTTCTGCCACTCTTTCTAAACTTCTGATCATCTGAGGTAATGTTCAGTATTGATTGCAATCTTATTTCTAACAAAAAGAACCAAGCATAGTGATTTTGTTGCACTGTAAGACTTTTCAAGTAGTAGTCATGGTGGAGGAACGAAAGCAACTTGACTCACACTTATATATTATAATATACTACTTTTGCTACTACATTCCAGCATTATATAATATTTACGTTCCATTTATTTTTTACTATTTTTACTCGACAACAACTTCTATTTTAGCCACTTTCTGCGCTGTCTCTTATTCATTTAGTTGCATTTTGCTTTAGTTCAAAAGCTGTCTCCATTTGAATTTGGTGAAGGTTGGCATGATTATTTTCTTCGTCTCTCTTCCTTGTTTTTATTTTAATTTTATACTAATAAATGTTCTGCGCAAACATAAACCAAACTTCAGTTCTGAGTTGACGAAAAGAATCATAATAATTTTCCACATTAAAAAAAGTTCAAACTAAAAAAAAACTCGTTTTTGGGACCGTGTCGCTCGCTCTGTACATTTTTGTTGAACATAACATGCGAAGAGTTCACTTTCTTTGCTTTCCTTTTGCACCTCTTGTAAATAAGTTCATACCAACAGTCACCACGATTCAATCTAGAATGAAAATGCAATTTCATCCGGACAGTTCACCTCCCAAAACAGATTCACTGCAATTGTTGCCACCCCCACTCACTCATACTAATTCAGTTTTGATGCACTCTGCACTTGAAATGAGTCACCTTTCTTGTGATTGATTAATTTTAGAAGATGAAAAAAAATCCTATCTGACAAGGTTTTTCAAGATCTATAGTTCTAGATAAAATGTTCAAACCCCCCTGAAAAAGAATGTCTAAAAAGAAGGTACTTACATATGCATGATTACAAGATTCTAAAACAATAATAAAATATTAAAATAAAATAAAAAGATAAAAATCTTTATTGATTTTGTTCATTTTTATCTTTTGTGACTTTTGTTACCCCATATAATTTTGTTTCGGTTTTTGTTTTGATTTTATCTCAGTTGAAGTAAAAATACAAAAGAACTTTTATTTATTTTTACGTGTTTCCAAGAAGATGTACAGTGCTGATTTGCTAATCGCTGTGTAAAATAATTTTTATGACCGATTGGTTTCTAATCAAAACGAGAACTTCTAGTATATTTGTACATTCCAAGTATTGCTGATTTATACTCGATATTGTCCGAGAGAGTTATGTTCTGTAAAAGAGGTCCTAATTATTACTATTACCACTGAATTATATTGAAAAATTAATAAAAGCTATTTACAAAAAGTGACTAGAATGGTTTGCTGTTAATCACCTTTTCACTGTCGCATCGTTCTTATCAGACACGAGAGTTTGGTTTTAGTTTCGTTTCCACTCAGTTCAATTTTCAGTTTGGTTTCTCTTCACTTCCTTCTAGACAAAGTTGTGTTTTTTATTTTAATTACATATATACTTTCCTTTGTCTGATGAGAGGACAAAAAGACAAAACAAAAACCTGATGCATGCTGCAGTTTTAGAGAGACTACTTACTCAACCAACGAGACTTGTGCGCTGGTTTAGTGCCTGGATTGATTGATTGATTGACGACTGGCTGCCTTAAATATATTTTTAGTTTGATTTCCATTAGTTTTAACAGCATGGCAATGTTAATTCAGTTTTACACTCTCCGATTTGTTTGTCCACCGATTTCTAATAACATTGCTTCTTTGAATGATGAATATTTAATTATAAACTGCAGAGCGAATCTCTGTTGGAGGTGCTGGCTGGGGCTTTTTTTACTTTTGTACGAGCTTTTCATTGCAGTTGAAAAAAAGCCTCTTGAAATTAGGAATAAAATTTAGGATGTGAATTGATTGGATTCGCTTCCGACTAGCATGTAAATTTAGAGTTAAGTTGGACACGGCAGATCTATAGCTTTGCTGACGGAAATGCGAACGTTTGAAAAGCAGCAGGGCGCAGCCGGAGTCGACGTAGCAGGTTTGTCAACACGCACCAGCAGCTCGAACCCCCGCTTCCGTGTGTGTAAATATACGTGGAGATTATGTTGATCAGAGACACCGACCCATAAGCATGGATTCAATCCCAGTATCGTTCGATGACTGTTAAAACTAATTATCTGAACTTCTAAGATTAAATTAATTTGAAGTTAGAAAAATCAGCAGATAAAGATTAAAATAGTAATTTTTGACCAAAAAATTATTATTTTCTTTAAAAAGAGAAGAATAATAGAATTGTAAGAAGTAAGAAAATTCAGGAGAGGAATTTAAATTTTTGAATAAATATATATTAATAAATATTGAACCAAATTTATTACTTCCTTAAAAAAGCGTAGAAAAAATAAGATTTTTTCATGTGATTCCCAATTAATGATTGCTGAAATTATGGAAACTATATCAAATTATTTAAATATTTGTTGAGATCAATAGATAAATTGATTTTTATTAATCTTTAGCATCAAAATGTTTGCCAAAACTTAACAAACTTACATTTCAGACTTCTTAAAATTAATAATTTTGTCATTGAACAATACATGGATTCAATTTATGCAACCCTTCGTAATAGCGTAAATAATCGACTCTTTGCTCTGCTCTATCTCTCTCTATTTCTGTCTTTCTCTCTGCCCATCCACCTGTACTTTGCTCTTTTTGGCGGCGACACCGAAACCACCCCTCTCACTATATATATTATGTATTCGCCCAGCAAATTTATAAACCCGTACAAATGAGGCGACCGCGTTGAATTCGTTGAAGCCCTCCGTCAAATATGATTATTTAGAGATATATACGAACCAAGCAACCAACCACCGTTGTATGTTGCGCTCATCCCATTAAAAGCAGACTCGAAAACGGGCCGTGCTCTCTGCAAAGTCAATAGAAATCGCCGGCGAGTGAATGACTGACTGGTTGGATATCTCAATCCATTTCACTTGTTCGATTCTATCTCTTTTTTTCTCACCACCGACGCAGAACCTGAGAGATTGTTCACTCTTTATAATGGCATTCCTGCAGCCTAGGATGCTTTTTCCTTTTACAGGGAACAAAGCAGTGATTGAAAAATAAAACATTTATTTTGAAAATTGTTGAAAAATTGATCTGTATATTGTGGAGGGCTCAATTTTTATCTGATTTGAAATCATTATAATATAAAATATTGAGCAAATTGATTAGGACTTTATATAAAAATTTGAACTGTTATAAATAATAAATCAGTTATTTCGTAGGGTCAGTTTCAATGTGGTTTGCTCATAAATATTTTTCATCACAGGAACTGAACATTTAAATTTATTGATATTACCGATCAAAACTTTGCAAATTTCGACCAACTCTTACCGCTGCTTTTATTATCCAAATTCATTGAGAGAATGAATGAATAAATTTTAATCCAAAAGAGGCAGCGGTTAAAAAAAATTGATAATGCTGTGTAAAACCGACTATTTTTTATAAAACCATTAGAAACTTTTGGCCAAATTTAGCGAAATGTTTGAATTTTGAAGAAGAAAAAAAAACAGTTAATTTTGTAAATATTCTGCAATTTTATAAAAAAAAACCTTTATGTATGAATAATTTAATTTCTAGCTAAAAATAGGCATTAATAATCAACTATAATTTGCTAGATTAACGGTGAAGACAAGAACTAATTTAAATATTTCGAAAAAACTGTGATATGAAATCAAAGATTCTGAAAAATTACAATTTTTCAGCGATAATGCCACTAAATGTTTCTAGCTTTCAATTTAAAGGTTTCTACTTACCATTGACAGAATTAATTTAAAGGAGCATATTTTCTATTTTTCTAATCCACGTAAACCAAATTAAATTGACAAAACCATCTCGTTTAGCGGGAAAAAGTTTTAAATCTACGTATATTAATTAAGCTATTTATATTTATATCAATTAATAATTTGATCTAATATGATATATGAATTTTTTTCTCTTAACAACATAATATAATGTTTTCCATTAAAACGTTGAGGAAAAAGCATCCTGGACACGAGTCGGTCTTGTCGAAGGCCAAAGAACAAACTCTGAATAACGTCGGTGCGTGTAATCTCTATTCTCTTGCATCTCCACTGTGTAATCTTTGACCGCCCGAGTGCAAAACTTTCGCATTGTATTTGAATAATTCCCGAGCTAGCGAGAGCCGTCCGTGTATTCGCCTTGTTATGTTAGAGCTCGAGGATTAGACGAGCGAGCGAAACTCGCACGCATTTTGCACACACAGGGCGCTGCAATGTGGGCATCGATGTTGCAGGGTCTCTTTTTCAACGACGACGAACCGCTCGCCGAGCAGGACGAGGTCGAGGTACCTGGTAGCAATGCGGGCAGTGCCACTGTAGACGCGCGCTCCATTTTGAGTAGTTGCAGCGGAGACGTCTCGCTCGGACTCGAGGACCAGTCGGTGAGAGGCCGAATGATACAATAATAAACTGGTGAAAAAAGTATCAAAAAGTAATGGAAATTTTAAAAGGTACAAGGTGAAGTAATTTGTATGAAGAAAATGAACGGAAAATTTGTTAATAGTAATTTTTTTTGCTTTTCAAATAAATTTAATCAAAGATTTTTTTAAAATTTTATTTCAAAATTTTAGGTGGTTTTTATTAAAACATAAGAAAGGTAAATAAAAAATAATATCTTTTCCTCAAAAATTGTTTATTGAAAAAAAGCTTCGCTTGGAGTTTCATATAAAATTTGAAATCTGCACAAACTATTGCAAACAAGGGTGTCAATATTTTAAAATAATACCTGAAACACCTGAAACTTGTTCAAAACAAATTTAGTGAAATCTAAAATTAGCCAAAAGAAGGATTTTTTTTAGATATATCCTAATGAGATATTTACAGTCTTATATAATTAGTACATTGTCAGGTTAATTTTTAGAATAAATTGAAAACAATCTAAAATACTTTTTTCGCCAATTTATTATTAGGATGAATTTTGAAAAGAAAATGAAATAAAGTAAATTAAAGGAGTAAAAAAATTGAGAAATTGTGATAAGTGGATGTAATTTGTGCAATGTTTGTCACGTGAATTTTATTTTATTTTCCACTTAATTTGCTCCTTCCAATTTCAATCTTTCTCTTTCTAATAAAAAAACAAACAACACAAAACATAAAACCATAAACAAAGGGGGAAATCGAATGATAAAGACAAGCATTCTCGAAGGTATTTATAAAATTTTTCTGCCTGACGCAGGAGCCGGTACCACATTCCCCAAAAATTTCCAAACAAGACATATCGCAGGCGGCAGTCGAAATTTTGCTGGCGGAGAAACTGCAACTTCTGGAACAGCAGGTGCCCAATGGAGTTGGCGTGGCCGTCGACGACGAGGAAGAATCGAGTCTGACAGAAGTGGAACAGGTATTGTGATGATTTCAATCTTTTTATCTTAAAACAACATAAACTAGTGTTAAAAGTCGCACATATTTATCTCCAATAAATGATTTTTTTTCCAAAATTATTATTAAGTACTAAAAAAATATTTTAAATATTGAGAATCCGGCTGAACTTTTTTGTTTTGAACCAGTTTTGAACATTCTTTGTTGTTGTTAATGTGGCCTTATTGATTCAGGCACATAATTTAAAAGAAAAGAAAAGAATTTTTTTTGTACACTATCAAGAATTTTGCTAAAACTTCCAAGATAAAACATTTCAAACAGAACATTACAAACTACCTATTAATTTTTAATTCACAATTTTGAATTTCCAATAAATTTCAAAAATAGGCAAAAACTACGCCAATATCTTAAAATTTTTATGATAATTGATCTGCTTTTTTAATTGGAAGTTTAATTTAGCCAATATTAAACCTACTGAAATTGTAAGATCTGTATTTTTTGTTTTAATAATTTTTATTTTATTTTTTAGTAATTAAATTTTAAGAAAAAAATCAAATATTTTGGTCAAGGTTGAAGCTTTAAGAAAAAGTCCCGAAGAAAACGTGAGTGACCTTCCGGAGGTGGAGCAGCCAAGGGTGGAAGAGGCGCCGGCGCCTCAAGAGGAGGAGGAAAAGCCCCCGGAAGAGTTGACCCCAGTGACCGCTGTTGAAACGACAATCCGCATGCCAAAGGCACCGTCGGAACCACTGGGCATCGCCGTTGAGGCGGAGGGTGGATTTTTTGGCGGCGCCATCGTCAGCGCTGTTCTGCCTGGCGGCGCCGCGTTCAGGGACGGCCGTCTCAAGACAGGCGTCGAGTTGTTGGCCATCAACAACGAGAACTTGCGCAGGGTCACGCAGGCACAGACCAACGCCATCCTCCGAAGGGCCGCCCTCCTCTCATCAGATGTTAGGTGAGTAGAATTTTATATTGAATTGGCCTAGAAAAAAGAAGTTTAAAAAATATCACAATTTTAATTTCAAATTTATGATGAAGATTTTAAGTTATAAATATTCCAAATAATTAAAACTTAAAAGATATATAATTTTTGTTTGGAACAATCAAATTGAATTTCAAACTTTCCTTTATCAAGAACTGTTCATTTAAATGTTAAATTTTTGTTAGACAATTTTTTTATGAATATTTGCAAAGTAATTGAAAGGCAAAAAAAATGTGTATTTAATTATATTTTCTTGTGGAGTTGCTTGATTATTATAAATAATTTAATTTCGGTTTTTAAATTCTTTTTTTAAAATTACAACAGTTCTTCAACAAAGCAAGCCACTTTTATCTCAAAATTCGTTTTGTTTAAAAATCAGAGTTTGAACATTTTTTCAGCTTTCAAACTTGAAATTTTTCCTCCAGCAGGGAAGTTTGTATTGTGTATCTCATAGGAATATTTTGATGGACAGCTTCATTAAATCAAAAGTTCGCACAGGCGACATAAAAAAATGTTGTCTTTTGTCGGAAGCTTCACGTGCCAGTGACACGAGCATGATGGATTCTTCGACGAGCCGTGTAAAATCACAAGAAGTATAATTTGTTATCCCAAGGACAGGAAAGTGCATAAGAAATACAAGAAAGGTTGCAACAATCAACTCCTGGGTGTAAAATAATTGTTGCTCACGCGAGCATGATAGGAAATAAAAGTGTCTGGCGAGTAGGAAAGTGTGCCATGATATTTTCTTTGATAAGTCTGGGTGCGAAGCCGTACACGCCTGATCGAGCGGCACATGTGTGCTTTCAGTGTCACGTTTGTGCCTGCGCCGCCCTTGGTGGAATTCAGCCCCTCTGCAGACTGCCGCCCCATCCCCGTCTTACCTGTCGGTCTGCCCAGCAGCAAAACAGTGCCACCTCAGCTGCCTTCCTTCACACAGCAACACTCGTTGATCTCACCGAGGCAAGTTTTATTTAAAATTCTAATCTAATTTAAATTGATTTTCAACTTCTAGTTTTCGGCTTTTAAATGTACAAATAGGTTGCTTTACCTGCACATTTAAAACGCATTCTTTAAAAACGTTTTACCTTTTGCTGTTAAATTGATAATCATTAATTTTTTATTTTAATTCTTAGCTTATAAAAATAACAAAATAAATGAGAAAAAATGAAAAGGAATGAAAGGGAACTGAAAACAATGGTTGTAAAATTTTTCAATATTTTAAATATTATATTTAAAAATGAAAATCCCCAATTCGCACTTTCAGGGGTTGAATGCAATACAGCACGTCAGACCAAACAAAATTACATTTTTGATTAATTTGATTGAAATTTTTGTACAGAGGGACTAAATCAGTTAACAAATTCAATGAAACCTTATTTAATTTAACTGTAATGCTTTTTAATGGGATTCTTAGAGACCTTAATCAAATTTGCGATCATATGTGTTATATACATACATCTATGTATATATGCAATGTATGTTTTAAAATGTTGTTTTGCTTCTTGTTTAGCTTTTTTTTTTATTTTTAACCAGAAATCCTGGCTTTATTGAATTATTTAGTTTTCATAAAGTTTTAAAAACAATTTTGATCCAGGATTCAAATTCAAAATTGATCATATTTTAATATTTAATTCTTTAAACAACGTAAAGGTTAAGCTTTAACAACATTAAAGACCCTTCTACATTTTCTGATAAAAAAAATACTTCACTCTAATTTTTATCGACTAGCCAATTCCTTCCAGACCATTTTTGTAGATCAATATTTGGTTATTTTATATTTTTACATTATTATTAATTTTTAAATAATTTGTAAATAACTTTGAATTTTGAATTTCATTTTGGGTTTGAAGGATCTTTCCCAACTACTATCGGTAAGCTAAACTTTAGAGCCGTGTCCGTCCAACAATCCCAGTCGCTGTCCAGACCCGCCCCTAATTATGTTGAACTCGCGTCCTTTGTTTGTGCAGTTGCATACGTACAAGGTGTTGTCGCTCTGGTTGGCGTTGTGGGTCTTCCACGTACAATTTTAAACTCCCGAATGTGTCGCATGACTATATTTGTCACCCTCATGAGGTCATGCAAAGTAGAATCTACGCCATAAACTTTGTACTTAATTTTTTTAGAAGGTTATTTAAATAGCTCCAAAGTTCAAAGATTCTTTTTTTTAAGAAAGCATTAAATTTGCGGCATGTTTTAATTTTATTTATATTTATTATGATAATGATACTTATTTCTAAACATGGACTTTTTTCTTAAAAATATTCATTTGCTTGGAGCGGTACTTCAACTTTTCAGCAGCAAATATAAAAAACAAGTATAAATTTTGAATTCTTGCATAAATATTACAAATAAAATGCATAAAAAATAAATCTCAAAACAGTCTGCAGAACTGAGTCAGAAATTAAAAAGTCATTAAAATAAGTTCAAAGTCTTAAACAGGTCTTAAAAAAATGCCTGTGTGATAAAGTAAAAAATAAAGCATTTTTAGGCTCATATTATTATGAATTATAATGACTCACCTCAAAATATCTAATTTGATAGAATTTAAAATAAAAAATTCAATCTAAAGACCTTTTTGCAACCCACAACTTATAGACTTTTAACTTGCTTTCCCATTTTTATGCCGTTGCCTTTAGTATTACTTATCATATTATTTTATATTAATAACGTCACAAAAAGCTCCACGTGTAATTACATGATTAATCCCATTCAAGTTGTCAAGCGGTTTTAACTTTTAACCCGTTCTATCCACGTTGCATAAAACACTCCCCTTAAATATTTGCACATATCGAGTCAGGAAACGTTATGAAAGCCCGTCACATGTATATTATGACAGGAACCGTAACGAAGATGGACACTAATTCCCCAAAACCACCACCGGCACCCCCTTCCCTTCTTTAATCAATCAAACCGCGCCGGATTTGCAATGAACCGGCGGCAGAGTGACCCCTGCTGATGTTCGAATTCACCCCAAGCGTGGGTTATGAGTGTTTTATTATTTTGGGGTGAATTATTTTGCAGCCCTCCCACGGTTCCGCCTCCGCCGCCGCCCTGCCAAAAGCCGGAGCCGGAGGAGTTGAGCCCCGCAAATGAATCTACTCGCCCTCTCAGCCGGACTGAAGGCGCTCTAGACGAGGACGAAGAGGACAAGACTGACGCCAAGGAGTGCGTGACTGTGATCAGCGTTGACCACGGCGCTCCGTCGCCGCCCGCATCTCTACCTACTCAACAGGTAATTATGAAATAAAACTGCGGAAAAATTGATAACAAAACAAAATTTCAATAAAAATCCAGGTTACAATGAAATCACATTTTAATGATTGATCAATGTCAAAGAAATAGTTTTAAATTTTTTACTAATGTTGAACACATTTTTTGCGCCTTTTTCTTTTAGAAATTTCTGTAATTTCACCAGTTGTTGATTTGCTCTTATTTTACGTCGATTCTTACAATATTGGAAAATTTAGAAAACAATGAATCCGTTGCTCGAGGCGCTTTAATATTTTTATTTTATTAATTATTATTATAATTTTTTTAATTCTTCAAAGTAATATTGACAAAAATAATAATTTATATTAATTGGAGAATAAAGATTAAATAAATAAATAAATGTTTGAAAATTAAATTTACTAATTAAGTGGCGATTCAATAAACAATACGTGGAAATTTCGCCAAAATTTAATTTAGAAAAGAGTCGTACACCTAAAACTCAAGTTTTATAATCAATTTGATTGATTTCAGGAGCCATCAACTCCTCCACCTCCTCCCCCGAGGCCAAGGAGCAGATCACGGACCGAGATCTTGATCGGCAGCGACACCCCACCCAGGATCCAGAGCGTCGAAATCACCTCACCTGTGCCCTTCGCAGCGGTTGAAGCGGCAAGTCCGCCGCCAGAGGAGGGAAAGCAGAAAATGACCATAACCCAGAGTTCGTCGTCAGCAAAGGCAGGCGCGAACCAAATGGCCAAGCACTGGGGCCCCGAGAGGCTCGTCGAGGTGTCTCGAGAACCCAGCACCAGTCTCGGAATCAGCATTGTTGGCGGAAAGGTGTGAACGTCTTTCTGATTTTTTTTCTTTTTTTTAATTCATATTAAATTAAAAACTTAAGAGTAAGTCAATAAAAAGAAGTTGATGATCTTTTTGAATAGATTAAGCAGCAGTAAAAATGTATAAATATTATTGATCTGCAATGATTTGGCTTTTATCTAAATCATGTGTCAATTTAACTCTAAATTTAATTTATTGACATTTTACGCATACAAATATTTATGGCAAATAAATATATATTTTTTTCTTTGAATTCATGATTTATAAATTTCTTTCAGGTGGATCTGTACAATGCTGGACCTGAAAGTGGCTCAGCCATCACAGGCATCTTCATCAAGAATGTGCTGCCGAACAGCCCCGCCGGTAAAACCGGAGAGCTCAAAACAGGCGACCGCATTCTGGAGGTTGACGACGTTAACCTGCGGACGGCCAGTCACGAAAGGGCCGTTGAAGTGATCAGGGCTGCTGGGAACCCAGTTCGGTTCCTGGTCCAGTCATTGATCCAGTGGGTGAGTTTTCAAATCAAGTTTTACAGTGGTTATGTAGGACAGATTATTTCCATCAAATCATTTTCCATTATCTTCGAACATTTCTCTTTTCATTCAGAGCATGGACAGTGAGACGGAAAGTCTCGGCGTCCCATCAACCTCAGCCACGCCCCTTGGATTCAGGGAGAAGAGCATTCCTCCCGAGGTGCCTCTCTCTGTCACTCCGTTGCCAGAGTTGATCCAGGTATTGAGGAAATTGGAGGAGAGACAAAACCTTTTTCATTTTTTGCATTTTTTCATTTCATTCGATTGAGTAGAAATTTTAGATTTTCAAAAGTAGCTATTTTTAGAAAACTTTTTATAGTTTAAATTATAATTCAGCGATTCCTTTATAGGTTGTTTTGCATTATTTCTAATAAACAGTCAATTGATTTTTTTTTTCAAAACAAACTTCTTCAGAAAAGTAATTTTTAATTCAGATGAATTTCATACGAGGACGCGCTAAAACTGCAGATCGAAATACAACATGGGTCGATAATTTTTTCAATGATAACCACCTGTCCATAGGTCACCCCCATGTGGTTAAAAAAAATCCCAAAAATGTTTTCGAATTTTTAGAATTTTTTTTCAAAAAACTCAAAATTTCAGTTTTTAATTTTTCCATGAGAGATAAAAACTTCTAAACAACTTTTCTAGACTAATTTTGCAACGGCCGACAACTTTTCAATGCTGACCAAACGTGTACAAACACGTTTAAGGTCAGTTTCAGACAAATTTTGACTTTGACTGAAATTTTCGAAATGAACGCCCCCTTGGATTTTTTTGCAGGTATAGGGAAAAATGTAGCCCATCTAATTTTAAATTGATATGGTGATTTTCAAAAATATATTATTTTTTGTTTTTCTTTAATTAAAAGGCGAACAAATAAAAACATTAGGTTTTGTGCGTTTCAAGCGCTGAAAATACGCTCATGGTCGGAGTTGGTTTACTTTAATTTTAAAATAATTTTAACAAGAAATAATATACATTTGAAAATTACCATACCGATTTAAAATTAGATGGGCTACAATTTTTCCTATGCCACCAAAAAAATCGGAGGGGGCGTTCATTATGAAAATTTCAGTTAAAATCAAAATTTGTCTAAAAATGGCCTTGAACGTGCATGTTCACGTTTGGTTACTATTGAAAAATTGTTGGAAAACTAAAAATACGTCTAGAAAAGTTATATTCAAAGTAAATTCTTAGCGCGAGAATTAATCGGACAATTGAAGCAAATTCCGAGATTTCACTCCTCACTAGGAAACCCAAAATCTAACGTTTTTATTCATTCACCTTTTAATAAAAGAAAAACAAAAAATAATATATTTCTGGAAATCACTATATCGATTCAAAATTAGATGGGCTACATTTTTCCCTATACCTGCAAAAAAATCCAAAGGGGCGTTCATTTCGAAAATTTCAGTCAAAGTCAAAATTTGTCTGAAACTGACCTTAAACGTGTTTGTACACGTTTGGTCAGCATTGAAAAGTTGTCGGCCGTTGCAAAATTAGTCTAGAAAAGTTGTTTAGAAGTTTTTATCTCTCATAGAAAAATTAAAAACTGAAATTTTGAGTTTTTTTAAAAAAAATTCTAAAAATTCGAAAACATTTTTGGGATTTTTTTTAACCACATGGGGGTGGCCTATGGACAGGTGGTTATCATTGAAAAAATTATCGACCCATGTTGTATTTCGATCGGCAGTTTTAGCGCGTCTTCGTATGAAATTCATCTTCAGTATTTTTTAAATCAATTTAAATTTACTCAAACTTTAAACAAAACTTTTAGGAGGGCATGGACGATCTAGCAAAACAAGGCCAAAATCATGTAACTGGGACCACAGAGAATGAGCCTGCAGCTACCAAACCTGCCCCAGTTGATAAGCAGCAGTCCAAGAAATACTCCAGCGACGAAGAAAGCTCGGACGACGAGGATGTCCGAGACCAGGAAGGTCGAATCACCACCAAAGGAGGAGAGGAGGTTCGTTTTTTACCTCTTTTTGTCTGTCAGATTTTGCAAACAAAATATTTGTTTCTGATGAAAATAATTGGCATGGTAGCGAGCAGATTTGTGTGTTCTTTAGAACAGCAGATTTACATAAAAAAAATTTAATGAGCAGATTTTTCATTAGATAGGATTTTCCTTGTTTGTCTTTACTTCTTTTAACTCTTTTGAAAGCTTTGGCGATGGCATTCATTCATCCTAGCATGATTTTAAATCCCCCTGAATAAAAAGTACCTGTCAAAAAGTTGTAAATTTTTTATCTGGCCAAGTCTTTACATAAATTGTACAAACATTTTATACTTTTATGGAAATTTCAACTCTTTTTCTAGAATTAATTAAATTGAATGCAGTGCACTGTGAAGTTTTCAACTCCAAACTCATGCACTTTTCTATGTATTTCTCCTCTCCTTGAAAATTTTAACTGAGGCTGTGACTTTTCTTAAAACACCAATTGTTCATAAAACTCGATAGACGAACTTCATATTACATTCTTCTTGGTGTCTTTTCACATCTCTCAATGTTTTAAAAAGTCTGCTCAGTGTGATATTTTTACATGTTTGTAATTAATATATACATACACTCTTCAAATTTAACCTCAATATTGACCTGCAGGAAATAATGACCATTTTTGTACACATGAACACACTGAACATACTCACATTTCAATAAGTGGACCAAAAATCAACCAAACAATTCCATTTTTAACTTCCAACGCATGTTGAAAATAAATTAATACAAAACCAATCCAATTTAAAAACTGGAAAACTGCAAGTTAGGAGAAAATTACTTTATAAATATTTATAAAAATTGTAAAAAGAAAAGAATCGAGCAAGTTCCGACCCTAAACTATTTTCTTGTCCCGTTTCTTTCTGTCCCCATCATTTGATAAATTTGCCAGCACCAAAGTGAACCTGCTACACGCCATTGGCTGCACTTGATTATATATATATACTCTCTCTGCTACTTTTGTATCTTCACCGTAGAGTATCTCTCTCTTCTCTATTATACATACTAAGTATTATGTGCATTTTGTTGCCCTTGGACTTGACCAATACCAGACCTGGTGACACGCCGAACACGCTGTCGCAAACTAAGTCCCTGTGGTGTATCATTTTGCTATATAGCTGCAGCTTGCGAGTCAATCAAAATGATAGCCAGGTGCGTGTGTCAGGTACTGCTAGGGTGGCTGCAACCCTCCTGACATCCAGTCAGCAGAGAGCTCGTCCTATTTTTACCGCATCGCCCCTACACCCCTTCAACTCTGCTTTAGAAAAAGGTAATCCATCAAAACCAATCAGCTCTCAAACACACTCACACTGAGCCTTTTGTTCTCCTTGTTTTCTGCCGCAATATATTAATTAATCCTTTACTTTAGAGCAGATTAAGCATCAGACTTAGGGAAAAGAAATAAGGTTTAACTCGCGGTTGAGCTTATTGTTAGGAGATGAAGGAAAAAATTATTTTAATTGAAAAAGCATTGCTAACGACTTTGTAGGAAGTGGAGTGTTTGATGGGACTGAAATTTGTCTTGAAAAATATTTCAATTTGGTTAAAATAGGTTGGAAATCATTTAGAAAACTTATTCTTGATAGAAATTAAGTTGCATCAATTATATATGATTAAAACCAGGCAAAATGTCTCAGGACAAGGACTTAATTTTAGTCTCATGAAACACTCAAGTAGTAATAGATGAAAATACTTTTGCAAAATAATTTATCAAATAATTTAAATTCTTTTGTTTTACATATATAATCTTTTTACTAAGTCTGTATTGAGCAATAATTTAGTGAAGTCCTAGATTTTAGCAAAGCTTCTTTTATCACTTAACTTCAGCTGTAAAATCATAATTATAATTTCTTCAAATAGGTTTTGATCAGAATTGGTGCGTACGCTTAAAAATTCTCACGATTCAGGTACCAAACCAAATTGTTGATATCCCAAGATCAGAAATCAATATTAGTGTTAGTGGCTTTATTACTTTTTAGCTCTTTTAAAATTTGAATATTTTACTTTTAATCATTTAATTTTGTTTTCAGTTTTCCAATTACAAATCTATAGTATTTTATCAATTTTTTTTAAATTTCCAAACACGTTTTATTAATTATTTTTGAGAATACAAAACCAGTTTTCAAAACATCGAAAATGTTTGCTCAATTTTTTTTGAATGCAACATTTTTGCTCTCCAAACTTGGTCCACTTGACAATCAAAACAAACTCTAGAAAAAATCTCAGACAGAAGTATCAGTTTCGCAAACTTTTCAGACACACAATCCTGCAAAAGTAATCTCGGCTCGCAGCACCCGTTCGCTATAAAAATCGACCAGAGCAAATAGACACGCGCGGCTGCAAGTTTAATTTCTCGCTCCGTCTGCAGTGGGTGCTTCTCTCACACACGCGCTCAACTTCATCAGTAACAAAACTCTCTGGGGAAGCCACTTAAACTTAGTGACAGACAGAGTGTGCGAGATTCGCGATCTTCGGCGCGTTGATTTAATTTATTCATCTGCGAGCGTGATTAAGCCGCTTCCCCTCCACTCAATTATGCAAATCCCGTGCACTAATCACGACAGACATTGCTGCGAATCGCTAATTGCCGAGTTCCAGCACTTTGTTTGTCTGCAAATAATTGCTGCTTGCTATGGAGGAACAAATCAAACAATGGAACAAAGGAGGCATTTCGCTGTGATTGGAACAAAGAGGAATCCTCTGTTAAGCTTGCTCATTTGTTTTTCTAACGAGGATAAATATGGTCTTTATTCCTAAAATATCGGATTAATTTTTAAGCTCACATGTTCCTAAAAAAAATTATCTTTTTTCCGTAGAAATTCTCAACAAAACTCCTTTCATTAAACACAAAATAATTTTAAATTAAAAAAATGTATATAGTCGACTGAAAAACAGAATCTAAAAATATCAAGTCTCAAAAAAGCTAATCCAGATATGAAAAAAAAGGCCCAAGGTTCATCAAACTGAAGCACTGATCATTTTTCTAAAAAAATGGCGAGGGCCTGATCTGACGAAAGCTATTTTTGGCTCAGGCTATTTATTTTGTCTTTCGATCTGTCTCATAATTTTATTTTTTATTTTAGTCCCACATAAATTCCTCATTATTATCGAGGGCGGTTGAAAAAAACCCAGAACCTTGTTAAAGCTTTGCTCTTATTAATTTTCTTGCAATTTGTGGATTTATTTTTCATTTGGAGTTTTTCGTTATTTTAAAATATTTTAAAAGTTTTGGATTATGTTTTTGGGATGTTTTGTATTATTCGGTAGCATGCATAGGGCGAAATGCCTTATTTATTTCCATTCTATTATTTATCGTGCGCTCTATCGGGCAAGATGTGGCCACATTTGCAGAGTAAACAAACCGGCAGTGAAAACAGAGGAGCAGAAACCCATCCGCAGCCAGACCTTTTATTTACCCGCCGACTGACTGACTCGTCTGTCATCGTAAATTTTGCACTACCGCGCGCGCTCCCGCACACACACACACATTTATAACTTTTTATCGTGGTGCACGAGGAAGAGACGGCGCGGTAAAAGATGGATGGGGAGTCGCGCTGGAAAATCACCCTTGCAGCGCTGAGTAATGTGCCCGGTTCGTGGAAAGAGAAAAAGAAACGGCGAATTTGCGAGAAAGCAAAAGGTCGTTTGCGAGAATCTGCCTGATATGAAGATATGAAAATAATACATATGGTTTTTCAGCGTTGACGGCAATGAATTTTCATAGAAATGCTCGGGAAATTTCCCAGCGCAGCGTTTGGATGATTTTATTGTTAATAGTTCTTTCGTCATACTGTGAGGGTTTGAAAGATCAATTTTTGCTATCCAATAAATTAATCAAACAAACTAACTGATTGTGAGTTGCAAACATTGTTGAAAACTTTAGATTTTATTAATTTTTAGACCAAGTGTAAAAAGTAAGAGTTTATAAATCTTTTTGATGCAAAAATTTCAAGGATAAATTCTTAAAATTTATTACACAACTTTTTGTTTTTAAATTGTATCAACAACTAATTCATTTTGTTGCCTCTGTAGAATCGTCTTTTTTGACAAAAATGTTTCTCTTATTCAAGTTAGAATCGTCTTTTGAAAAGTTGTTTGTTTCTCCCCCCGGCCAACAGGGGTATTAATCAAATCATCCAACAGCGTTATCCGTTTCCCGTCTGTCGCCCTGCGTATTTCAAAACTGCGTCTTTCTCCCTCGCAACTTTTGATGCATCGCTGCAGACATGCAAAATCAATATAAAAATACACTATTTTCGCTAACTGGGCGACACAAGTTCTCCAAATTTTCCTGCAGTTTTTTGCTCTTTGTCGAGGTAGCAAACAGGTGTTGCGAAACTTCGAATCTGCTACGTGGAGAAGCGAGTTTTCAACAACGATTGCCTGCGAAATGGTCGAAATTGGTAAAATGGCCAGATTAATCCAATTTAACAAAATCTTGTGCCAATAGTCGTTTTTAAACGCATTTAGACAGTTAAAAATTAAATTTGAAAAATGAGTATTTGATATTTATGTGAATTGAAAATATTGTGAAAATTTAATGTGGCTACTCAGCTGAAATACGTCGCAAATTGGTTTGATTTTTTTGTTTATAACTTTCATTTTGTCTTAAAGGTTCTTTTTTGGGTCAAATTTTTTAATAAAATATTCATTACACACTCACTGCATTCATGCTACACACACATTGAAATAATTGGAAATTAGAGACATTCTAATTTGGAAGTTACGACTCATTCAAAAGTGTTTGGTTACTCGCTTCGCCATCAAAACTGTTGGTATAATTCAAACTTTTAGTGATATTTGTTATTTGCAGGTATATGGTTGCATTTACTAGTAAAGAAATTGTGGTTTTGGCCAAAATTTTATATCTCAAAATAAGTTTTGTAGGTTAATAATAATTTTTTTCCCAATTAGGTGATTATGAGTAATTCTTAACCGAAGTTGTAGCTTAAAAAGGTTTATTGAAGTACGTTTTTGTTCATTTCAAACAAATAGTTTAAAATGTGATCGAAAGCGGCCATTGGCACAAATTTGTTTTGCATTTTACCAGTCTTGCTTTTGGAGTTTTTAAGCCAATTCCATTCGAAATCTGAGAATCAATTTTAGCAAAAGAAGAACGGAATGATACAGAATAAATAGAGAGGAAAATACACAAACAAAATATACAATCACGGATTTTCTCACAGCCTCGTCTTTTCCTGCAGCGTCTCGAGAGCGAATGAATGTCAACTGAATGCGCGTGTGTGTCACTTGCAGATTATGAGATCCAGTGCTGGAAATGTCAAACGAACAGCTGAAGAGATTGCCGCCGACCCGGAGCAGGATGACATCTACGGATACACCACCAGTGAGTACAAAAACCAATTTTCTCCGCCGGCATATCCCATTTCCACGTTCGCGGCCACTGTATTTCCTCCGATCGGAAAGAAAATGTGCAGGTCACACACACACTGATCGACCCCCGTGATGATCTCGCCGTAAAAACTTCCGTTAGAGAGCGAGCGAGTCTCTCTCGCTTGACCGACTCCCGAAATTGGGCGCGAATATCAACTTGAATCGAGAGCGAGGGTGACATTTGTGGCCAATTTATTTGTAGATCAGAATGGACGACGCCTTCCGTCGATTGCTCGTCAAGATACTTTTGAAAAACTCTATAGTTAGTTTTGGATCTATCTTGAGGATCTGAGGAGCTAGATTTTAAGTATTGATAAAAATATCCTATAATTTTCAAAACAAAAACGGAAAATCTCATTAATAGTTACGCCGAGTTTTCTTTGGGATCATTTTCAGTTATTTTGGATAAAATTAATTTTTTCTATATGTTCATTTAAAATATTCACTATGGACATTTTTGTAGTTAAATCAAAAGTTATCTGAAAGTTATTATATTGTTTCTGCAGATTGCAAAACTGATAAAATTATTTGAAATTCTTATCAGAAAGCAATTAGAAATGGAAGGAATTCAATTACCCTGAATAAAAGACTTTGGAAATAGGCGTTTAAGTTTTCAATTTCCAAAATATGAAATTTTCAAAAGCTTTTTCCTGCTCGACAATTTTTTTATTTTGCAACTCTGGAATTCTTAGCTAATTACTCGCCAAAAATTTAAATACGTAAATTTGTAATTTTCTGCTTCTAATATTTCTATATTTTTTTTAGACTGGTGAAAAAAATCTCTTCTTGCAAAAATAGGAGACTTTCAGGCTAAAGTTTTTGTTGAAATTGTCTCCCCTACAGTTTTTTTTCTCAGTAAAAAAAACCTTACTGGAGAATTTTTCTCTGGTTGGCATTTTGGTTCTAAATTTATGGCGGCACTGATTTTCCGTTAAGCCACCTGATATTTTTTTTACTTTGATTTGTCCAAAATTGTCTTTGAAATATTATACTCTAGCAAGAGAATACTATAAAAACCCCCATACAAATTCTTTAGTACATGAGAAATTTAATATCAATTCTGAACAGTCTGAATCGAGTCGAATGCAAAAAAACTGTTTTTTTTTTCTTTTTAGAGTGGAAAAAATTGCTTTTCACCAACTCAAACCCTTTGTTGAATTCAAATCACTGTAAATATTTATATTTTACCGTTTTTCCTGTTTGAAAATACAAAACAATTTTTGCTTATATAATTTAAATTTCCTGATTACATTTTTCACCAAAATGTATCACTTTTGCAATGCTTTTTTTTATCTTTTAAATCGTCAGTCAGCACCAGCCATAAATTGAACAGACCAAATTGTACGTTGTTGAAAAGGGTGAAATAATTTTGCAACACTACATTGGAGCGAACGGGTTGTTTCACATCGTGCCAATAATTCATGGGAGCGCGTGTATTAAATTTATTGTACTGCTGAATTGGTAATTCAATAACCCGTTTTGTGGCGAGCGGGCGAGCCAACTTTGCATCTCTCACCGCAGCGGCGGAGCAGCCGAGCGTTCTTACGTTCGCGATGAGATATTTCATCGATTTTCGCATTCCGCAGAATTTAATTAAAAGTCACCGAGAGCAGCTTCCTCGGCGCTGCGCAACGACCCCGACCGGCCGTAGCCACTCCCGGTAATAATAGTAATTTTTAATTAAACGCAAATTGGATGCTTTGCACGGTGGAACAACAAAGCAAACGAAACAAGAAGGAAAGGCTTTGCCTCCTGCCAGCCTTTTCCTTTTTTTTATTTTTGGCCCCGAAGGCGAATTCCTGAATTCGAGCAAATTAATTAGTCTTTGATCAAAAGTGTGTTTGCTTATTTATATTAGCTGATAAATAATGATCAAATGAATGAATAATATTGGCTTTCACAAACTTCGTTGACTTGCCGACGGAGAACAAATAAATTGAAGTTGTAAGCATTAAACAAATTATTAATATTTACGGAGATTAAAGGGGATTAATTTCGCTGTCAATTTTAGTTAAATTAAACTAACAGTTGCAGCAACTTTGTTTTGCAAAACTCAACAAAAATACGAATAAGATGATAGAAAAAAATGGTTTAAATAATTCCAGTGCAGGATCAATATACTTTCGCAAGTTTTCATTTCAAAGCTTTTATTTAATTATGCAAAGTAAACAATTGTATTCAACCTAATTTCTTTATTTATCCTTTTTTTTGTGGCAAATCCATATCCTTAAATCTTCTCGGCATAGATTTAAGGTGACAGGTTTGTATAAAAAAAACCTGCAGTTCTATGTATAGAGCAATTTAAAACCAGTCATATTATTCGGAGAAAAATCTTTTTAAAAATCGATCCAGATACAGAATAAATCAAACAACATGAGAACCGTCTTTTTATGCCACTCGAATTGCGACACTCGCGTTTCTCACGCACAACACAGAAAAATTGAAACATTTGAACGTGTCAAACAACAATGACCAACTTTTCATTCGCCTGGGGCCGATCGTGCGAGTTCAAGCGTCGCGGGGTCACCGCCTCTTGAAACCAGTTTTCATTTCACTCTCCAAGTGGAAAAAAGTGCAGTTGCTTCGAGTTCGAGGCTGGAAAAAAATACATAAAACGCCCACGGCTGCACACAGATTTGCATTAAACGCGTCTAACAAATCAGGTGGCAAAGTTACGACGGAATTAGCGCGTCATAAGCCAAATCCCTCAAGCCGAAATAACCCGATAGAGGCTGTTTGTTCACCCTGCTGCGGGTCGCCGCATTGTTCCCTAAAATGGAATGTCAGAATGATTTAAAACAATAATTTCAGGAAAAAAAACTCTGAATTAAACATTGAATGTAAAAAGCATTATATTGGAAAAATGCAGAAAAATTCCATTTTCTTGCTAGTAATTAAGGATAATTAGTCATTTTTTTTTTTTTAAATTATCGATATAGCATGAAAGTTCTTGATGTAATTATTTTTGGCTTTTGGTTCTTTCTAAATGTTTAAAAAACGCTAAACCTTTTGCCGAGCAACCTGCAAAAAAGAATATTCAGATATGAAAGAACTTTTTATTTATTTATAAAATTTAATTTTTTTTTTTTTAATTTTTTCCTGCCTATAGTATAAATAGAAGTGGATACAAGTGGCGTTAGATTTTTGTTTCAATTTCGACTATTTTAATTAAAGAGATTGATTGATTTGCTGCAATGTTAAAATACTGAAACTCTTTCCTGTTTATTCCACTCATGTCTTTCCCATTTCTGGAAAAATATTCTTACAGTTAAATTTTGCAATCTGGTTGAAAAAAATGTTATTTTATACCATTTTAGGGCATAATTTGGTCCTCATCTGCCGCGACGACTGTTTGCCTCTCTCGCGAAGGTTACATGGCTCTGCTCTTAACTCTTTAATGCCGCGAGAATTGCGAATGAGTGCATGCATAATGCGCGGCGGCAATTCGGCAGCGCTGAATAACGTGAAGAAAAGCGCCGGCCGCGGGGAAGTGCGCCCTCAGGATTATTATACTCGGCGCGCACCTGCCTCCCACTTGCTGACGTGAGAGCGCACGGTCGTTTGTTTCCATTTGCACATTATTATTTTGCATTTGAGGGGGCGAAACTTTCTACTTTTGAGTTTGCATGCAGGCGACACGTCCTTTATTCCGCAAAATTTATCACCGATTTATTCAAAGACATCCGGGTAAAGAAATTTAGTTTCAAATTTGTTCAAAGAGTATAGCGTTCACATAAAGGCAAACAAAAAACGTTAAATTGAAAAAAAAAAATTGATTAGAGTAAGTAGAAAAAAAAACTGGTTTTTATACCATCTAGTTTATTATTAACAAATTTATTTAGAGTTTAAAATGAACATGCGTTAATTTGAAGAATTGTTAGTTTAAGTTGAGCAAATTTTCTTGGTTGAAAATAAAATTACATTTTATAAAAGAAGAGTATAATTTATAAAGATAATTTCAAGACTCTGATTATTGAAGTGTCTGGCTGGCCGTAGATAAATTCCAACCAAATAAGAATCACAGATTTATTCGCCTGGTCTGTCTGAAACTGCGTTCGCCACTCTGAAGCTTCTGCAACTGCCAACTTATCTGATATAGCACAAACGCAGCTTACATGGTCACATTTGATAAGGCGAATTGTCGTGGGATGACACATCTGTCCCCCCTGTACCCAAACACTATGCTTAGTTTGAGGTTTGATTAACATTAATATACATTTCACTCAGCAGGCTGAATTAGTTTTGAGAGATTTAACATTCCCCTCAAGGTTCAAATTCTTTTAGCTGAAAAAAGTGAACCGTTTCAACCCTATGGAATATTTCCTGATTAAGCTTCCAATTCCAGGAATAAAATTGCAAAATTTGTTTATTTTTTAATTTAAAAGAAGTGATTGCTGGACAAGCCCTTTAATACACCGAAAAAATGGGATTTTGAATGTTATGCTCGGGCGATTTACATTTATGGAATTTTAATTCATAAGTTTTTAACTAAAATTAAATATTTATTTAATAATGCTTTTTAAACATTTTTTTAAAATTAATTTATAATTCATTTAATTCAATTAAAAATATTTTATTTAAAATTGTAATCAAAATGTTTCACTTTTACTATTTAAAACACGCAATTTATTTTGTATTTTGTATGAATACTGTAAATAAATTTGTAAATGAATAAAAATTATAAATATCCGTGCTGTAAAAACTCAAACATCCATTTAATTGTTACCATCAACATGTGTTGATCCGTGCCATTTGGTTAAAATATATTATATATTTCAATACAAAATTAGTCAAGAAATGTAACAGAAAATATGAAATTGTTATATAAAAAAAGAAATTAATAAACAAAAAGCGCGTGTACGCAAATGCAGCTCATTAATCACGTCGGAGGTGCGAAGAAATCGGAGCCCACGCACGGGGGGTTGGTGCTGGCTCGGAGGGAGCGAGTGGTGC